GTATGTGGAACCTTCTCCCGGTCGAGGTCAGACAGTCGCCTTCGGTTCGGGTTTTCAAGGGTGCTCTTTTGAAGTTTTGGGATTGTTCAAACTCCACATGTTAGAGCTTTTGAAATATTTATTTTCATGTGACATAGTTTTATTTTGTGCATTCATTTTATTATAGACTTTGTATGTATTAATGTATCAACATTACTTAATATATATGTATTTGTTTGTATACATTTGATTTATTAAATTTATCTGTGTATTTATTGAGTATAGTATATTCCATTTCTTTACTTATCTACATTGACTTAAAAAAGTCAATGCTTATCTATTTTTAGTGCCACCCCAAAAACCAACTTCCCTCTCAGATTTTCAAAGGTTAGTTGGAAGAAATCTCTTTATTGGATAAGCTCGCCTTTGTACACAAATATTTAAATTGTTTCTGAAAATTTGTAAGCTACTTTGTGGTACAATAAAGTGTTTAAATAAATAAATAATAAAAATTTGGTCGCACTTTAGCAGCGCGACACGCGCCCTGAGGCCTAATTATGTAATGATTACATACAATACTCTTACAATAGTACATCTTTTTTTACATTACATACAATAGTCCATATGATGTTAGTAGGTACTTACAACTATGTTAGTAGAAAGCAAAGTGTTCATTTTCATGAACAAGGATGGACATCCAATACTTAAGGTTGGTGCTGCTTCTAACTATGGCCAACAGAGATGCCACTCTCTTGCGAACTACTGCCTGAAACCTATCAATACTAGCCTCCGCGAACATCCCTGAGGCACTACAGTGTCGAGGCAGCCCCAACAGTCCCCTGAGGGCGTTGTTGAACTGGACACGCAAGGCACTTATACTTTTTTAGTATAATTGCTCCACAGGTTGCATGTGTATAGGGTCTGGCAAATTGTTTTGAAAAGGGTGATTTTAACCTTGTATGAGCACCGTGCAAACCTGTGGGCCAGCATATTACACCTTACCCCCAGCGCCCTGCGTTCCCCCTCCAGGTCAGCATCGTCTGTTAAATTTTCCCAGTTAAGTGACCCAGATACTTGAACTTAAAGATAAGATAGAAGATAAGAGAAACAAAAGTAAAACAAATACTAAAAAACAAAAAACCAATGAGAATAGACGTGTCCGTGATTGGCCAAGTACTGCCTGTATTTCAACTAATCAGGAGGCGTTTGAGTAGCGTCATATTTGATATTTTAATTACAAAAATACGACGTTCATTCTGTGTACAGAACTATAAACAAATTTTTCAGTTCAGCAGCGGGTACCATAGACAAAATAATTTTGGGTCAGAACTAAAACAAGCACCTTTATGATATGGTTCATGAAATTAAAATTGACAGATGTAAAGAACAGAAATAGAAAAAAAATAATAAATCAATAATAAATATAATCAATAATTAATAATAATCATTCGAATTTTCAAATCAATAAATAGAATAGAATAGAACTTCCAAAGTACTACCTAACCAGTAATGTGAGCGTTCCGGTAACATTACAGGCACATGAGACCAGCTTATATCTCAGGATGACAGACGCAGTAGAAGTGTCCCACAGATCTTTCTGATTTAAAGCACTGACTAATACTGCAACTACTATGGACATATTCGTCCATCACAATACAGATATCATAAAAAAAGACCTTTACCTTCATAATAGTGGCTCCATCATTCGAAATTACCGCTTTGCCCGAATGATCAACAATCAGTTTGTCCATGCCACGAGGGCCCAGAGTTGTCCGGACCTGGTATCACATATAAAAACACTATATTGAGGTCTCGCAAGGTTACAACATTTGACAAATCTTTGAAGAATTGGCTACTTAAGATATCTGAAATAATGAAAGAAAGATATGTAAAAAATGCATCGATAGTCTATAGCTTGGTTGGTAAAACGGTCGTCCTGGTATGACACAGAGGCAGACAAAAAACTTCTTTCAATGCTGTATATGCCAATACCTCAAATAAATTATAGATAAAAAGTTACATACCGCATCTGCCACAAGTTGGCAAGCATTGATATTAGAGATGAGCTGCGGCTTCCCCTGGGACTGGTCTGTGCCCTCCTTCAGAACTAGAATCTGTGGTTGCTGAAACAGAACACAAAAATAATATGATGAATAATTAGAATTATATTGCACCTTTGCCTAACTTTATCTTATGACCCTAAAGTTGCCTTGGGGAAGATTGCATCTTAGCTGCAAGAACCTTTACTTATCTGTGTTTTGTCTTTTGTATCATCATCTGTACTTTGTTTTGTGGAAGAAATATTTTTTTGTATCATAAAATGATATAAGAACTTATACGCTACACATGACGACCAAGAAGCTTATTTACATTTTTTTTAAGGTGCGATTTCATAATGAACAAAGAAAACTAAACGGTTTCGATCAAACGGTTGGAACGGAGCACTAGACAGGAAATTTTTTAAATTGTTTTGTATTTATTTCGGATAGATTAGATGTAAATAAACACTTCTAGTTCTTATTAATTTTTCGCCACGGGCAATAGTTTTCGAGAAAGTTAAGCTGATAATTTTCATTTACCAAGGCATTTACCAAATTCCAGAGTCAAAAAAAAAAAACAGAAACAAACACTAAAATGAAATGAAAACAAAAACAAATCCAGTCGTTTCCATAGTACCCCCTTTTGTACAGTCCAATTGCTTTTTTTTTATTATCTAAATCTCATGTTTTTGTTTGTTATTTGTTTGAAATCAACATTTTTAAATTTTTTAACAATTTACGGGACATATAACTTCAGTCACAAATACTGCGGACTACTAATGGCAATTTTTGGTGGAAATAGGCTGGCGAGACAGCAATTCTCGTCTCGTCTCGAAAACCATGTTCATTCGGACCAATGCAAAAACGTTTCAACAATAACCGCTGAATTGTTTCAATAACCGGCAAATTGTCCCATCATCACACTGAATCCTCCAACTCTGACGTTGGCGGAATATCGTTCAAAACGACGGAGCCATAACCACACAAAACTTGATTTAATACAAGTCTTTGATACTGGGAATATGACACTTTATTTCCAAAATATCAACTGCTGATCAAATATTTACGTATATACCTTCATATCAGAGAAGAAATAATGGCTACTTCATGTCATTTTCATTCAAAAGCAGAGGATCATGGGAACAGATGACCATAACCTGTTACCAAGTGATTCATAGGCAAATGACAATCTGTCAAAAACACCGAAAAATATTCACTTCTTTGACGAAAAACCCGCAATATGATATAATATAGAACCTAAAATAGCAGTAAATTACACTCAATATAGTGTAAATTTAAGGAACAACTAGGAAATATAGCACAAAAATAGAAAATTCGCGAAATGGAACCTTAAGTTTCCAAACACAATTTCAGAGGAAAATACACTTCAATTACACAAAATACTAATCTAGTCAAAAATTTTACACTTTTCGCGTTCATTTTGTGATAGTTAAATAACGAAAAGCTGAAAGATTACTAGGCAATATAAAAATTAAATTACCATTTCGATGTTTTCAAGTATTCAAGAAATTTTACCGAAACTGAACTGACAATATGTGTTCGGTGTTGCTATTTGTCGTAGGCCCTCATAAATATTGGTAAATTGTTAAAATATAATTGAATGGAAATACATTTCATGGCTTCAATGGATTAGATCAAATTTTAAAATCATACATACGTACATCGTTTTAGCTAATATTTCATTTTCTGATTTTTATAGAATCGATGTAAAAAAATCTAGAAAAGGGTAATTTTCAGGTTTAAATATTTATAGAATATCACAATGAATATTATTTAATATTCGAGTTTGGTAACCTGAAATATTCTTTAATATTTCACGAGGAAATATTCGAGTAATTAAATAATAAAAATTTTCACCAAAATTGAGTACATACAAAAAACTTATCTGAAAATCACTGAAAAAACTGAACGGGTAACTAAAAAATGGCAAGAAGAAGTGTTACTTGACAATGCTAGTGTTGTTTACGTTTTACGATACGATTCAACTGTTACTCGATTATTTATTACAATCCGTTAGGAAATAATAGATTTATAAAACTATTTTTTATTTCAGTTATATAAAATTGACAAGGTATGTACATACAATTTTTGAAAGAAATTGAAGAGGATTAAGAAAAGATCGTTCGATTGTCACGTAATCGTTTAAACTAGGAATGGGTAATACAACTTTTTCTGAATATAGTTTCGAAACTATATATCAGTGTTCGAAATTGGATTTCGAAGTTATATATTTTCTGAAACTATGTATTCATGGATACAGCCCGCGTGCGCGCTGCGTTGATACATTGCCGTTATCGATATGCGGAATCAGGTTTCGAGACTATATATTATTGGATATAGTTCTACAAGAGTAATGCGGGCCAATGTTAGTAGTAGTTCGAAGACGCACAAAAAACGGTTTCGCGTTGATATCCACTCAGTGAATATATAGTGACAATCTCATACGAAGCAATATCGGTATATAGTTTGGAAAATATATGATTTCCACTTTTTTGATTTTATATGGTATCCACTCGGTAATCGCTCGGCTTGATTCGGCATCGCTATAAAATACGCGATGCGAAGTAATATCAATATATAGTTTCTAAGACATACGATATCGGATTTTCGATATTGCCACAATATATAGTTTCAATAACTATATACGATTTGTAACTCCCGTTCCTAGTTTAAGCATCATATCTTCTTCTTTTAAATGTTATGGCTCCATCGAAATAATCAATGATTTTGCCAATGTCAAGTAAAAATAACTATGTACGGTAGTTTAATATTATTATAAAAATTATACAAAAAAAAATGGCGATATTTACAATCGATACTATTCAAAGTGTGCATCACTATTTTAGAACAGAAAAAAAACTTGCAGCTCTCATCGAGACCACGTCGTTTTACCGAATATTTGACCAAAAAATTCTTGGAAATAGTGAAAATATCGCATGAAGACATTGAATAATTGCGAAAATGAGTCGTCAAGTGGACGTGAAAGCTTTAATTTCACACATTGTCAAAGGAGATGGGCAGGACAAGTGCCGAATATGTTTGGGAGATACGTCGGAAGGCCAAGTATATCTTGGGGACACTGTAATGCTGGACGGCGACCGCCCTGTGACGCTTGCAGAGCTTTTGGAAACCATTACAGGAGTCGAGGTCAGTGCAAAATAAAAAAATAATGGTCTCAATACCAACCGACATGTATTTTTTTGTTTATATTTCGCATTTTCTGTGCGAAACGGAACGACGCCATTCCCGCCTTGAAATAACAATATGGCGTCGAGTTTCAGTCAGCCAATTTTTCGTTATTTAATATTTATGCAATTTAGCTTAGTTTCGCTTGGTTTGAGACTGATTTACTGATTAGAATGGATGTTGTGTTAGTTTTATATATGAGTAATTTAATATTATTTGTATTTGCTAGATATCCTTATTTTCACATTTACGGAGTTAGCGTCACTGAATGACGCAATCTCAATATAAAACTTGTCCTGTGATTTGTATCTTTAACCTGTATTAACTCTTCTGATATGATTTCTGGTCCAATTCGTACCTATCGATATTTATTAGTCTTTAATTCAAAATATTATTAATTTGTAACAGTCTTCGTAAACAAACTTTGTATTTTTTGTTTAAAAAACGATCTTGAAATGCACTTTATTATTTACTTTAAAACGTAATCAATGAATATTGTAAAAACATAACAATAGCAAGAGTTTAACACGTTTGAACATCAGCCTGTCAAACCCGCATTAGAATTTGTTTATGGAAAAAGCTGTTCAAGGTACTCCATGAACTACACATTTATCTAAGACTACTAATGACTTGACTAGAAATGAGATACGGACATCCATTTTATTAAAGAAAAATTTAAATCGTGGCCATTTGACTAGACCGGTGGTTGCAGGTGCCGTTGGAAGCAGAACTGCCATGTGGACTCTGCTCTGACTGCTCAGGATCCGTCCACGCTGCTGCCAACTTCCGGTATCTTTGCCATCAATCTGCTGATCAATGGAACATAATGGTTGATCTCCTAGATGACCTCCCAACCATTAATGTCAGCAATCTTGAATCTATATATGCAGTTATTGAAAATGATAAAATTTATGTCTTGGAAAATGAGATTAAATACTCTCAAGTCCAGACAAAAAATGATAACATGAAAGATGACATAAAGCTTGTGAAAGAAAGACGTAAACGTAGCTCTTTCACTGTTACTAATATCAAACAGGCTTGTTTTTGTCCAGATTGTGGAAAACGTCTCAATGGGCCTAATGAGCTCTATGACCATTTTTTGGAAAGCACAGATAATAAAAAAGCTTGCTATGTTTGTGCTTCAATTATGACTCGTGAAGAACTCATTGTACATTTAAAGGAGAAGCATAAAAAGAACCTTTTTGGTTGCAAGAAATGCCACGGATTATTCCAAACCGAATCGCAATTTAGAGAACATACATACAAAGCTCATTCTCCAGGAGCAATTTATTGTGGGGATTGTGGTAGTACATTTCAATCACAGCAAGCTTTCAACGGGCATTGTGTCAAACATTTGGCAAAAGCTTGCCCCGGTTGCAATAAGTTGTTCCGTAACAGAAAATGCTATGTATATCATGTAAAATGCTGTTGTAACTTAGATAAAAACAGACAGGATACTCATAGAACAAAACATAAGGTATCATTTGAAGTGGAAACCAATGAACGTAAAGTCAAGGTTGGTATGCGAGGGAGTGCCGATGAGACCTGCATTTGTGATTATTGTAATAAATCCTTTGCAGGAAAGAAGTATGTTAGAGCTCATATACAAATTGTCCATACCAAAGACACACACAGACCATGTCCATATTGTGGAAAATCTCTAGCAGCGGCTCACATGACGGAACATATTAAAAAACATGAGCAAACTCGCTCATATACCTGTGAACACTGTGGAATAGTCCTTAACACAAGATTAGGTTACGTACAGCATATACGACTGCATACAGGAGAAAAGCCTTATGTTTGCAAATTATGTCATGAAGCTTTCTCTGCATCATCAAGGAGATCAGAACATATTCGTAGGAAGCATAAGAAAGCTGAGGAATTAATCCTCAAACATGTATGTGAGTTTTGCCCAGCAAGATTTAGATTGCCATATCGTTTGAAAAAACATATAGAGACCGTCCATGGAGAAAAACCAGATGGAAAAAGACAAGATTTTGAATGCCCTGAATGTCATATTAAATTTAGTAGTTGTAGAGGACTTCTGTATCACACAAGGAAGCACCAAGCCAACAATCTAAAAGCTATGAAGGATAAAGAAGGAGATGACGATATGGAGGATGAACATTAACAGAACTAAAAAAAAAATGCATATGCTTTTTAGATTACCTGAGTAATGTCACAGATATTCTCAGTCATCATATCTTAACCCATTCATGGACAGTATTTAAGTAGTACTGCACTAAAAAAATGCCAGTACTTTTTATGCCGCATTGCTTATATTGATTCAATGTAAATTATTGAATTTTTCAGTACGTTGTTGATACTCATCGAGTATATAACCAGAAAAGAGACGAAATAAGGGCCATCTATTCCTGGCAACTCATCAGGCAAACGGGCCTTATATCACTTTTGAATATCAACTCTTGTTTCTGCTGAAATGACAAATTAGAAACAATATGAAATACAACTGACCAGTGTATTCCAGATTCAGTATTCTCCAAATATTTTGTATTTATTGTAATTAAGATAATATCTCTAACAATGGGAGCTGTTCCATTCGGTGGTGTGACGACACCCGTCAATTGTATCGAATTCAGGTTGGCTAATCGGAGCGCAGTTATCACAGTAATGACTTGGCAGAATGTTTCAAACAAATTAAATGACATTTTGTCTCTGTTTCTGGTTATATACTCGATGTTGATACTTCCACTCATCCATGGAGGAACAGTAGATAGCAACTATAATAATGATTCAAAGGCGATTAGGCGATTTTAAAGGATTAAAAGGCGAGATACAGACACATGCAGCACACAATTATCGCTCCAGTGTGGGACTGTCCCACCTGTCTGCAATAATATTCGGGATCTCTATAAAGAAAGCATTTAGAAATTGCACTGTAAAGCCTGAACGATCATATTCTGATATTTAATTTTACGGTACACGCCGTTACTGTCCATGAACGGGTTATACCAAACGTGACCATTATTTTTTACCCTCAGAGACGCCTTTAAATTTATTATTGTTTTAGAAATAAAATACTTGTTTATGACAGTGACGAAATGTTTAAATATCAAAAATAAAAAAGAACTAATCTTGTGTGGTCTGATGGGCTAGCTATATATGTTTTTAGGGGTGCGCAAATTTTCGTTAACATTTAAAGTTTAGATTTTAAATATATTCTACGGCAGCCGCCGCCAACAGCACGTCACCGCTAAAAACAATGCACACGCATGTGCATTATTATTATTATAACAAAGAACTGGGCGACAAGGCTTTCTTGATACTTCACTTTCGCGTCTTTATATTAAATTTATTTTCATGTATGACCTGTTTTGTCAAAGCGGGACATTTTTGTCTTTTGGGAACAGCGGGACACGAAGCTTAAAAGCGGGACTGTCCCGCTCAAAGCGCGACGTATGGACACGTTAGTTATACCAGTAATATCTCTGGAATGTAACTATTTATTCAGTGTCGAAATCGCGTATATTTGTTTTTCAATTAAACCAACGTTTCAGGCTTTTTACAGGTCCCACTGACTATAACGTGACCATTAGACGCCCGAAACTTTGCGTTCGTTTAAAATAAGAACGAATACCCGAGGTGTAGTTCCATCCGGGCGGCGTCGTGGTGAATGTTCACTGATTCCACGGCGCCGACTCAACCGGCGAGAGGGAAACCCGGGGGGGTTTTAGTGGGGTAGGCCCTCCAGTCTGGGAGAGTCCCCACATACCCCTGAGTCTCCCTGGGCTCAGGGGTATCCATAAAGATTTCCCCCCCCCCGTCAAAAAAAAAAAAAAAAAAAAGGTGTAGTTCCATAAAAATAGTTCCCTTTCCAAAGAGTAACAATCGCGAAAACCTAAAAACTCTATAGTAATATCATTTTATAAAATATCAAAGCAATCGCTTGGTCTAGAAATCTTTGGGGGGGGGCCTATGTTCAGCTGTGGGCGTCTTCCGGCTGATATGATGATGATGATGAAAGGTACTGGTGAAATTAGACACATGAGACTTGTCACAGGTAACGGGCGCAGTGATTTTTGCGATTTAAAGTTATGAACAGTTATTAACACTGTTATTAAAAATCGTTTTAATGCCCTTGCGGCATGTTAACGCCTTCAAATTAGACTCTGATATAAGTGCTGCAGTGGCGCCACTGTGCTAATTTTCATATAATATTTAAAAGCGCAACTGCAGTGCCACAGTCTCGCCACAGGCACACAAGGCGCAACTTATGCAGTCACAATAAGTGAATAAAAAAGTGCGACAGCCACGCCACTGCAGCACTTCTATAAGCGTCTAATTTGAAGGCGCCCTTAATCTTCGTCTTGTCATTTTAGATAAATATGAAATGTTAAGTATTATTTAATTTTTCTTTTGTAATATAAATAATTCATATATTAACAATGTGTTGTGATTCTCTTCATCGCTCCCAACAGCCTTTGCAGTTCCTTTACGTGGCTAGAACTTCTAGGACTCTGCTCAGACTATCATGTTGTGACACAAAAATATTTTATCTTTAAGATCAAACTTTATTTGTTATTTTAGAAAGTAATAGATATTTTTTTTTTCTTTGTATCTTTACGTTGTATCTCTTTACGTCGAAAGAAACACAGAGTATACCAAGAAGATAAAAAGAAACACCTAAGAAAGCAGAAAAATTGTTCTAGGTGGAGACCACGACCCTGCTTCCGAAGCAACTGTGCCGAAATTGCTCACAAAGCATCCTGGTCGTTATTCCCTTCATCGCCCTCTGCCGGGAATCAGCCACAAAGTGGTACCAACTAAGTAATTTCTTCGACAAATACACTGTACCCCAGAAAACCAAAAACTTGTATATCAACTTGCGAGACCATGATATACTTCCTTTCACTGACACAATAAAATGTCCCGTAAAACCTGCAACAAATTATACACAAGCGTTGAAAAACTTCAGAAACCGACTAAACAGAGTCCGAGCATATCGGAATAAGAATATACAGGACAAAAATGTACTTTTGAAACAAGAATTAAAATGCCCTGACTGTGATACAGCATTTTCGTCGGCTACCAAACTGATAGAACACGTTAAAGATATGGGGCTAAAACTTTGTATACATTGCATGAAGCTTTTTAAACTCGAAGAGATGGCGCAACATCTAAGAACTCAACACGATATCGAGAGTTTTTGTTGCAAAATTTGCGGGGATGTTTATGAGGATAAGCAACGTCTGCAACAGCATATGATAAAGTACCACAAAAAAGGTTCAGCATTTTGCGTGGAATGCAAAAGATCGTTTTCCAAACAGGAAGGATTGCGATCCCATGCCTATCTTCACAGTGCCACGGTTTGTCAGGGCTGCAACAAAAAATTCTCAAGCAACACTTGCTACAAGAAACATAATTGCTCAAATCCAACAAACGCAACGTCGAAATTCATTTGCGATTACTGCGGAAAGGAATATCAAGTTAAAGCTGCTCTGAAGCGGCATATCGAGACCAAACATTTGAATAAGCATTGGAACCATCAATGTCATTTGTGTGGAAAGAGATTCCTCAGCCTCTCCGTTCTTTTAGAACACGATAACACCCATAACAGAGTTGACGACAGATACGTATGCGACATCTGCGGAGCGAAATATAGCACACGCAGAGGATACGAACGCCATCATAATAGACACACTTCTAATAGGACATTCGCGAAACCTTTAAGAAAACCTTTACACGTGGAGTACCGAATTTAAAGGATTTTTGTAAAATGTGACCTTGTGAATCGACTTAAAGAGATCAGAAAAAGATTTACGCCCGTGCAATAAGAGCGAAAAAGACGCTGTGTGTTTCGTTTTTTTTTTATAATCCGCGTTTCTAAGCTGTGATTATGTGTCAAAATCTACTTATAGCTCTTAAGAGCTCGAGCGAATTCACGCCTTTTTTAAACGGCGTATAAAAAATAAAATATGTATAAATAGATAATAATCATCAAATATTCCAATAATTAAAATTTGTTCTTTGAATCTAGTCGTGCATCTACCAACACACCTATTCTGCCCTTTTTGTCATAATTAAACAACAACAGAAGTTTGTAGAATGCCGGGGTAGTTTAATTCCTATAAAGCAATGGAGATCATTCAAAACGCGCACAAGTTAACAAAATGATACGAAACAAGAGTCTATAATTCAATAGCTGTCACTCTCAGAACAGACTAAAAATATCCAGATTGAGGATTAGGTTGATTTTTATATATTTTGAATTAGAAAAATATAACCCTTTTTTTCAAACCATACCTCAACTTCTCCATATAAAAAAATGTGCTGACTTAGATATTTTAATTTTAAATAATTCGTTTTGGAATTTGATTTGAGCCTGTTTTCGGGATTTTACATGATCGGGTAAAGTAAATCCTATCGTGTAACTAATTGTCACATTCTTTAAACATTATCGTTAGGTGTATCGTATATTTTTCTCTTTACAAGGTTCGCTTCAATTGGAAGAAGTAGGATATTGCGACCGACACATTTCTTGTTTTAGATACGAAATAGAAAAAAAGGATCTTTTCCTAATATTACGTATCGAAAATACGGAACAGTAAATATTTAAAAATAAAATTGACCACATGTGGACACCTTTCAAACTTGTCTCACACTGGCTCAGGTGGAAATGGGCGCATCTCCACCTGCTACCATCCTGAAATGCGTCTTCAAAAGGTATAATAAAACGACCAATGTATTTCCTAATTAAAGCCAAAATGAAAAGAAGAATGGCGTACTCATATACACCTGACGTTTCAGGTGGAGGATGGAACGGGACTGCCTCCAGGACTATGCTGCAATTGTTCCCTCGCTACTATCTCCGCCTTTACCTTCAGACAGACCTGTTTAGAATCTCACAATCACTGGATTAGAGCTACTGACAGTCTGTACACTATTGAGACACCGTCCCAGTACGATAAAACTTACTACATCTTCTATAACGACGGTACGGAAACTATAGTCAAGGATCAAATGCAGCATGCGACGAATAAAGAAGAGGCTTTAACCAGACTGACAATGAAAGTTGACGAAACCGATATCAAACGTCGTCCAGAGAGATTAGTCTTAAAATGCCAGTGCCCGGATTGTGGGAAACTCTTTACGATGCCTCATTACCTGAATGAACACCTTAAGGGATCTGTTAAAAGAGCTTGTCTTCGATGCGGAGATATAATTGAAAGAAAGCTTTATTCGAAACATTTAGAAAAAAAGCATAATATAAAAATGTTTTCTTGCGAAAAATGTTTCGAACTTTTCGACGCTGAAAGCGCTTACAAATATCACCAGTTCATCTACCATGCTAATCATAAAGAAACTTGCCAAGTTTGTCGGTCCAGTTTTGTGAACCTTAGAGCTTTACGCGCCCATATGTATTCACATAATTTATTCCACTGCACATCCTGCAACGCCAGTTACGAGAACCGCAAATGCATCAAATATCATCAAAGACTTTGCTCAAATGCGAATAAAATTACCAACAAATTTGAAAATTACGTCTGTGATTATTGCAACGCAAAGTATGATAGGAAACCGTCTTTAAAAACACATATTATTCAGAAACATTTACAAGTTTTACCTTTCGTTTGTCAGACGTGTGGTAAACGGGCTTCAACACTAGCACATTTAAGATCCCACGAAAACGTCCATATGACAAAAAGGAAAGTTTATCAATGCCGTTGCGGAGCTAAAATGCGTACAGAATTAGGTCTAAAATTGCATCAAAGAATTCACAGCGGGGAAAGGCCTTATCAGTGTGAAGAATGCGGAGACTGCTTCCTCTCGTCGTCTAGAAGACTTGATCACATTAAGAGACGTCATCGGTCTTCCAAAGACATGGCACATGGATGCGAAAGATGTGCGGCTAGATTTGTTAGGCCGTTTGAACTGAAGAAACACTACATGTCCGTGCATTTAATGGATGTTGATATTTTACCCGTGAAACGAAGGCTCAGGAAAGGATTAGCGTGAAGGTTGTTTTTTTTTTCTATTACTTATAGTTACGCCAGTTAAGTTAACGGATTTCCTTTTGCGATTAAGACGTTAATTCCTTAAATATTTCGCAACTAATATTAAACGTATGTCCACTGTCCCCTAAATCTTACAAAATATAGTTTCTGAATTTAGAAACTCTCGCCTCGGGCTTACTATGATCGATGAATACAAATCACACCCTTGGTGTGACAACAGGAGAGAGGTTTAAAGTTTCTACGAACGAAATTAGTAGTTTTTTTTATTATGATTATTAAAACAAAGATCGAACACATAGAAAAAGTTTCTTCGACCCGCTGGAACTTTAACCCCCGACCATGCTGCACCGTAGCATTGCTCTTACCAACTGAGCCTGAGACAGCAGGTCAAATTACCGAGCTGTCGAAATCCTCCTATGTGTTTTTGTTATAGATCTTTGTACTGGCTTTCGGCATTCGTCCAGTGAGTGATTTTTGAAAAATCTCAATTTTTTATGCTTAAATAAACGAATTATAAAATTTCACTTATGTATATATAATTTGTTTTATGTAGTTCGTATTATTTTTATCACTTTTATGTGATAAAAGAGCTTTTGACGTATAATCAGTTAATCACATATCGCTTTATTATACCAAAGGTACAAAATGATATGTTTCTTTGCTATATTTACCATGGCTAGGCTTAAGAGCCGACCGCGCATTAATTTTAGTTGTGTTTGTTAATTTCAGTTAGTTTTTTTTTTAATGAAGCAACTAGATGAAATTCGAAAAGTGTGAACTCCAGTGGAGTATATAAGCTTCTTGCTTGCAACGCGATGTCTGCGCGCGTTTGAATCGATTCACTACCGCGTATATGCGCAGACGGCGCGTATAAAATAACCGTGTGCATAGACACTAAAAGACATTACAAAAAGGTTAATATTTACTTTCTGGATTCCGAGACGGTTTCATAATTTCAAATTTTAATTAACAAAAAGAAATCGACCTCGATAGTTTCCTTATCGGCTTTTTTATTGGAATTACATCTGTTTGCCAAGTTTTATTGAAATCAGTTGACAGAAAGTGCGCGAAACCGGATTGATCCCCTAGTTTGTCCCCCTTAGAGGTGGAATATTTTCTTCAAATTTAAATGGGACCAATACGGAGGTACCCGCTTTCCAACAAAAACAGAATCTATAAGATCATGCCTCAAATGTCGGAGTAACAGCGTAACACACACAAAAGAACTAGTCTAACAGTCGAATTGAGGACCTCCTCCTTTTCCGAATTCTGTTAAAAAACCAGAAATATTCTTGAAATTCAAAGTAACTTTACCAGTATTTAGAAAACAAATTACATGTATTTAGGACAGGAAGGACACCATGTTACTTTGACGTAAATTTATATATTAAAATTTAAATTTGGACATTCATTGAATGTCTTTGTTTGATCTACTCCATATTGAATTTGCTCATTGTAAAATTGTGTCTCTTTTTACAGGTACAAGAGGAGCCTCTGTGTCCCCCTGGAGCTTGTGTAACCTGTACTACCTCGTTAGTAGCCGCTCAAGAATTTAGAAACTTTGTCCGAATTTCTCAAAGTTTATGGTTCAAAGCTCTGGACAGCTTAGAAGCAATACGTGACCCATATTCGCCTATCAAAGCTCTGTACGCTTTTATAAGGTCAGACAATTTATCCTTGCATACTATGAAAGATTATGCCGGTGGTGATCCGAAAAGTGTATTAAACAACTTGACTTCAAAGCCTGAGAAAAAAAGTATTGATAAAAAGCCTCGTTTAGTCCGAACAGGACCTCCTTGTGATTGCACTGACTGTGGACAACATTTCTTAAGTCCTTATTATTTAAATATGCATTTAAAAAACAGTGGTCAAAAAGATGCCTGCCTTTTATGCGGTATGATTACTACTAGAGGTCAGGAGATGAAAGAACATTTGGCTGTAGTCCATAGGCAAAGTTCTTACCTTTGCTCAAATTGTCCAGCACTATATAACAAAGAAACGGATTTGAGGAAACATTTAAAAACTGCTCACAAACCTGGCGCCTTAACTTGTGGTGATTGTGGTAGAAATTTTCCAAGAACAGGTGCATTTGAAGCTCACTCACAAATGCATGCAGTCAGAACATGTCGTGCTTGCGGCAAACAGTTCAGCAACCGTGGCTGCTATCGTAAACATAGATCTCTGTGCGAACCAAATGCAAAACCGGATACGCATAACATGCATCGAAACCAGAAATCCAACGTCCGTGATCCAGCAGTCTTTATCTGCGATTACTGTGGCAAGAAATACCATTCTAGACCTCAGTTAAAGAATCATATAATTTGGATTCACATGGATATTCGTCCGCACCAGTGTACATGGTGTGGAAAGCGATTTTACACACCGGCAAGATTAGCTGAACATGGTGTAGTGCATACAAGAGAGAGAAACTTCGAATGTGACATTTGTGGGGCAAAACTAGTGACCAAAATGGCTGCCGTGTACCACAGAAGGCGACATACTGGTGAAAAACCATATGAATGTGAGGATTGTGGGGAAAGATTTCTTTCTGCGTCTAGAAGATCTGAACATGCGAAACGAAGGCATGGCAAAGGCGTTAGGTTTCAATGCATACAATGTCCTCTTTTGTTTGTACGAGGACATGAGCTCAAAAAACACGTTGAAAAAGCGCACAGAGAAGTTTTTGTTAGTAAAAAATTGCAAGGCATTGAAGTAAGAACTGCGTAGTTCAGTTTTGCTATATTTCATAAACGCGTTTTCGTTCCGGGTGGGATAGCCCAATTTTCGAACTTCGACAAAAGTTCCCGGCACCATCCCGAATCGAAAGATACGTCAGCGTTAATTTACTGCTACTGGTAATGCATAATCTAAGGTGGACTTCGAAAATGCCTGCTTGCCTAATTTATCGACCCGAGTGATAAATACAATGTACTCGTTAAGGTTGAGCCTTAGCCCTCATTACCAACCTATAAATGCCCCATTGCTGAGATTGTTTGATGGTTTCCCCTAAGAAAGTTTAACCCATGGTCTATGAAGAGTTGTATTTATTAAAGAAAATTGAAAGCCTCATAATGTGTAAACAACTTTTCTAATGACGCTTTTCTCGAATAAAATCAATTGTTCCGAACTATATGGGGTATTTTGTAAAGTGTTAAGAACCGCGTAGGACTGTAATACTACCATTATAAACAAACTTTGGTACCATTGCTTTTCATAATTCATCATAAGAATATTTATATATATCACACGATGCAAAATGCAAGAGCAAAGGGAAGACGCTTGCGTATTTCAATTTGCAACCTTACTTCCAAATGCAGATCTAAAAGTGTCAGCAAAAACTTAGAACTTTATTAAAGTGAATTTTGTAAAATGTCATGGAACAAAAGTTGTTCTCCTTAACGCCTTAACGTGTCGACTCTGATGTGTATATTTGTGAGGATCAGTTACTTAAGAGGGAACAGAAGAACAATTCCTAATCTTCGATTTGATTTTAGAGGGGTATGTCCACTTTAAAGTAAAATAAAAATATTGTATGAGTAACTACACGATATATTCAAGCATAGACACTAATCAGAAACATAAAACAATAAAGTTTCCTCGATAGATAAAAATCACGAAATGACCTCTAATTTTCACATTTTTTCGATTCATCCTCGAAATGCTACAGGTTATTAGGACAAAAATTAGATAATTAATTATATTTATGCACGAGAACTGTCACTACGGATTTTTTTTTAATCCCGAGTTATTCCGCTAAAACGACTTTTGGTACTTTTAATACGCAAAATTCAACATCTCCTGTCGCATGTTACGCGAACTTCAGGCATATATTTGTTTCACAAATTTGGGCGGAGCCAACGTCAAAACTTTTTTGGCATGCTCCCTCTTAAGGATTCAGTATTATCAGTGTCTTTGTACAGGTCCTTGCGTGTGCAGTAGGGACACGCAGAGCAGGACAAAAGATGTGACGTTGTCTGGCGAAATATACCACACAGGTATGCGCTCTCCGAGCTATAACCCCATTCGTGCTTGCTCGCTTCGGTCTGCAAGTTACAAGTGTGTTAAGGTAGATCATGAGGGCATGACATTCGACAGCTCAATGAGTGATGCCGTGGGGTATCTCTCCTTCCTTCTCTTCAACAAAAGTTGTTTATGATGGTAGTAATATAGTCTGGCAAGATTGTTAGTATTGTACAAAATAACCCTACACATCATTGACTTACAATTATATGGACGTCGGGTCCGCGCTAAAAAGTGTCCGAACTTGTAAGGCGTTAAAATCGTATACAGAGCGTCAAACTCCGCTTTAGTCTTCATTTGTTCGACGGACAGCGCGATACTGCGATGACATTACAATTTAAATTTGGAATAGGTTGACTTGGGACATTTTTTTCGTGGTTTTTGTATTAGACCCGTCGTCCATTTATTTGAAAGTCAATGCTGCATATACAATATATTTCGCAAACAATGTTTTTATTGTAAAATTTAATTCGCTTCGTGAGAAAATGTTACGGAAATTTCTCAAATTTTCTCTGGTGAATAAAAGTTAATTGCAAATGGAGACTGACCACTTAACACTGATGTTTGATTGTATAATAATGTTGTCGATTTGTTATTACTTAATGGTAGACAAGTTTTGTATATAATTTTGTACATTGATTGTAATCATAGTATGTTGTATCATGGGCCAATAAAATAACTTTAGACAAAAAAGTAATAAGATATCACAGGAAGTGTCTATAAAATATTTACATATATACAATTAGAAGAGGGCATCCATACGAAAAGCTTTTTAAAAAGTTTGCTCTTATAAGCACACAAGCACGCTTATAATTTTAAGTTATAAGCGTTTTCCAATTTCCAACCGTTAAACAATTTCATTTTTTTCAACGTGACAAGTATCAAGTCGCGCCATCTATGTTTCCTAAACAAATTAATTCGTCAATGTGAATAATATTGTAAATAAATAATAAAACTCGTGAAACACATAAATTAACTTATCATAAAACCTCCATAATGACCTACTCTCGCTTTTCGCTATCAACAGTGTTGCTAGCTTTTTTTAACATAATATCTACGGGCTTAAACGATTTTGTAAGCTTCAAACTAAAACGCGTCTTTAGTACGTTCGCGTTAAGAATGTGTATTCACTGTGGAGTTAAAATTCAAACAAATTATATTTTAAAAGATTAAGGTTAATGGATAAAAATAAACTTAATGGTCTTAAATTAAAATAAAGTCATTAATAATAAATATATTTCAATCAGTATCAGTAGAATCTTCGGTCGTATTTATTATAAAAGAAGTTTCTTCTGCTAGTTCCATGACGTCATCCAAATTCCACGTGGCATTTACATCTTTTAGGGCGTGGTCGCAGCTGCGCTAGCGTGGTATTTATTCCATCGATTAGCATCTATGAACTGTATTGCATCGTAAAATATTTTTTTAACGTCATTCATTTTTAATATTTTGTGTTGCTTTTAACTACTAACTATTTACTGTGAACTTGACTTTCTAATTTTAAGCAATCTGATTATTTACGGGGCGTGGCTAGGACGATGATTCACTGCATTCTTAACGCGAACGTACTATAAGTGACAAGTCCTTTTATAAGCACGCTTATTTAATTAAAAAAGTTAAATTTGGAAGCAGCTTTTTCCATCTCTATACAAAAATAATAGAGAAAAATACAAAACAGTACAGTAGTAAATGCCATGTCGACGATGTAGTCTACTTGTATTAATAATATTTAATTTGAAGATATCATGTTTACAGTTTATAGACACTTCTGTTACGTAGCTTCGGGTATGTAGTATTGGTAAAAAGCGGGGAAACTGCACCAAACCAAATTTTACAGGAGAGGGATGTAACGTTATTACTTTGTTATTTCAATGGCTACGATTTTCTTGTTAACATTGTAACATTATTTTATGTTGTCTACGGACTGATAACAATAGATTCCCGTAAATCACGCTAATTTGGCGACTAAATTACCAAAGTGGAGACACATAATCAAACGCTAGTTACGCGTAATTGCGCTAACCTCGACGATAGGTCTCTGAAGCAAGGGGAGGTTTTTGGGCACAGCCCACGCTGGTTCAATGTGGGCTGAGGATCTCTATATATTGAGTGTAATTTTAGAGAACTTTGAAGTGAAGTTTTAACACAATGTTTTTCTTGACGCCAATTAAATATGAATTGTAATATTTTAAGTTTTTTATGTAAATATTAATAAAATGACTTGAAGTAATTACAAGAATTATGTTAACTTTTAGTTACTTATTTTAATTTATGTATTCAATAAATTCTTTTGCTTAAAAGTTTTAAAATGTTTTTGTTGATTATTAAATCGAAATTGTTTCATTTGATAAGCAATGCTAAAATATAAATTAATAATTATTTATGTATTAAGGCGCCTTCAAATCAGACGCTTATATAAGCACTGCAGTGGCGCCACAGTGCTAATTTACATACAATATTTAGAAGCGCAGCTTCTATACTCCGTCCAACTCTTTTATTTTATTTCCATCCTCTAAGCTCCGAACGTAGAGGGAGAATAAAGACTATCCACACATATCCGGGACGTGGACGGGGCGTGCTAGTTTGTATGAACT